TTGGTTTTCCCTGATGCCTGGCCAGGCTGGGTATCCACTGTGTGCTTTCAGTGCATGAACAGGTGCCCACAGCAAAGAAAGGAGGATTGTGGAAGGGCAGAGAGTGGGGCAGTGAGGCCAGCAGTCTGGGTAGGAAGGGCAGGGGATTGGGGTTTTTACCAGGGGCATCTCTGTGTGGGACCCTCTCCTTCACAGGGTGGGTAAGGAGGAGGGACTAGGGCTTGGGTGGTGGCAGAAGACCCAGTAGGGAACCCACAGAGCCCAGGAGCTGGGCATGGCCTTGCCAAGTGGGTGCCCCACAGGAGAACTCTAAGTGTTGACATGTGTGCCAAGAAAGGGGGAAGGCCTCACAGAGGGTGCAATGTGGATGTCCCTTGTGCCAAAGCAGGCCCAAATGTATTTATCAGCTTTTTTCCTTTTATTAACACATGCCCCTTTATTAAACATGAAAGTCACATCTCCTTTAACACCATGTAACAATTCAAAATAAACGTTTGGACTCCAAACAAATTAAAATAATAGGGGAAAGTGCTGCTTCATTCAAATTACCCTCCTCCTAGATCTGACGTTCTGTTCCCCACTTTTGGAATCAAAGTCATGGCGCGTTTGGGCTGAGGTTGGCAGCTTTTCAGAATCAGTATGAGGGACTGAGAGAAACAGCTGTGATAGGATCAGTTCTCCAATGCATTTATTCATTCCCTGTGGGATGTGAGTTGACACCTTAGGTTCTGAATGGCGCTCAGGAGCTCCAGGAGGTATCTCCATCCAGGGCCTGGATGGCGGAGTTTCTCTCCTATCTGGACCCATTTCCTCTGCTCTCCCCAGGGAAGCCCATTCCCTATTGTCCCTAGCTGTCCTCAGCAATCCCCTACCCCTCCTACATGCTTTTGTTCCAAAACAACCCATCTATTTCCTCTCCCTTTATGTACGATACATTCCTAACACCTGAGGTCGATCTGGTGTTCTGTCCAACCCAAAGAAAGTATAATTTATACTAACGGGTAAGAGACTGACAGGCTTAAACCATTCAATGGAGCACTTGAGTTTTTAAGGAGAGTTTGTAAATTCAAACACATCTCAGGCAGTTGGAATGTGCACGGGAGATCTTTTTAAAGCCCGGTCTCTTTCAGCTCCACGTGCCTCCTGGGCCACTCCTACCAGGTGCTTCAAGAAGAGGGCTCAGCTGCGGGCTCCTCTGCGGAAACCTCAGGCCCCGTGCTCCGGTGTTTGCGCGGCCAGGGTGGGCGGGGACACAGGTCCCGTGCGCCCCGCCCGGGAGCGGTCCCGAAACCTCAGCCCCGGCCTCTACGCGCCCGGAAGGAAGCCGCAGCGGAGGAGGGGACGACGGGGTTGCCCCAAGTGCGCCTCACCTGCGGGAGAGCGCGTACCCTGCTTTTATCCCTCCAGAGCGGGCCTGCGGGGGGAAGGCGCTGATTTGCCCATCCTTCCTGCCCGCCGCCCACCACGCAGCAGTCGCCGCCAACCAGCCGCCGGGTGCTGGAGCGCAGGCCCACCGGGGCCCCTCCAACTCTCGCCCGGCACTGCTCCTCGCCCTTCTCCTCCTCCCGCGCGCGGGCCCCAGGCCTGGAGCGGGGTGGCTCACCCCCAACCCGCCCCAACTCCGGGACGCGCTAGCCGAGAGGGCGGCGACTGTGGGGAGGGAGGGAGGGAGGGAGGGGCGCCGCCCGCCTCCCGGGGCCTGGAGCGCGCGTGGCCCCCGAGCCGCCCGCGCCGCGAGGGGACTCACAGTGCAGCGCGCCGCGCCCGGACTCGGCTGGCTCCGCTCGGCGCGCGGGCATCAGAGGATGCTGGCGGGCTTCCCCGGTCTCGGCCAGCGCTCCCGCCGGGGAGGGCCCCGGGTGCGCCTGTAGCCACGACGCCGCCGCCGAGACCACAGCGGGGGCGAGAGGGAGGGCTCCGGCCACGCCGCGCACACCGGCCCGCGAGCCGCAGCTCTAGGGGCGGGCACCCCGAATTTTCCAGTCCCTGTCGCCTCCTTCCTCCTGCGGCCGGGCGCCTGTGGATACTGAGAGGCAACCCTGCGCCTCTCCGGGCCGGATCCCGGGCCTGACGGCGGGGGGGATCGCGCTGCAGCCGGGGGCCATGGCGCTGGCAGGGCGGCGCGGCTTCGCGGGGAGCAGCCGCCGGGCGCGCTGAGCCTCCTGCCCCGCCCGCGTGATCCGGCTCCGCAGCCGAGCGGGGACCGGCCCGGACCACGAGGCTCCCGAGTTCCCGCACAGGTAAGCGCAGGGGCCGGCCTTCCGGAGGGCACACAATGCCCCGAGTTGGGGAGCCCGAGTCGCCGAAGGCTGGGTGGGAAAAGGAAGTAAACAGAAGGAAGATTCAGGAATCCCCAGGATGACTCCGGCTTCTCTCTGGCACGCTGTGTCTTCAGCTTCTCAGGCGTCGGCCTGGAGGAGGTTTAGGTGCGGAAGCCAGGGATTGAGAGAGAAGAGATGACACAGAGAGAGACCAGGGGTGCGAGGGATGGAAGAGGCCATCTCGGGAAGCCTGAGGCAGGAAACTGTTTGGACCAGACTAAGCGTGTGTGTGTGTGTGGGGGGGGGAGGGTCAGTGGTGGCGGGAGCGTGCAGATGGCTGGAGAAGGCCCTGGTTCCGGAGCCTCTTTTAGCAATGGGCCTTTTATGAGGGGTAGATGGAGGGTGATGGAGAAAGCACAGGTGGGCGGGAAGCCGCGCTTCTACTTAGCCGTGCCCTTTAAGTTCCAGATGATCAGCGCAACCTGTGCCCTGGAGACCCACTCTGCCTTCCTGCCCGAGGTGGCCGGCCCTCAGCCTTCCCCCGGCCTCAGAGAGCCCCGATAGGCGGCCGACTCCAGAGCTCTTCCTCTGTTCCGGGTTCACTGCTCCAGGGCCAGCAGAAGCAGACACCAGTCAGGATGCCGAGGAACCAGGGCTTCTCCGACCCTGAGTACTCAGCGGAGTACTCCGCCGAATACTCCGTCAGCCTGCCCTCCGACCCTGACCGCGGGGTGGGCCGGACCCATGAAATCTCTGTGCGGAACTCGGGGTCCTGCCTCTGCCTGCCTCGTTTCATGCGGCTGACCTTCGTGCCCGAGTCCTTGGAGAACCTATACCAGACCTACTTCAAAAGGCAGCGCCACGAGACCCTGCTGGTGCTGGTGGTCTTCGCAGCCCTCTTCGACTGCTATGTGGTGGTCATGTGCGCTGTGGTCTTCTCCAGCGACAAGCTGGCTCCCCTCGTGGTGGCCGGCATCGGTCTGCTGTTGGATGTCATCCTCTTCGTGCTCTGCAAAAAGGGGCTGCTCCCGACCCGGGTCACCCGGAAAGTGGTGCCGTACCTGCTGTGGCTGCTGATAACAGCCCAGGTCTTCTCCTACCTGGGATTGAACTTTGCCCACGCCCACGCGGCCAGCGACACAGTGGGTTGGCAGGCCTTCTTTGTCTTCTCCTTCTTCATCACGCTGCCGCTCAGCCTCAGCCCCATTGTCATCATCTCTGTGGCCTCCTGTGTTGTGCACACGCTTGTCTTGGGGGTCACCGTGGCCCAGCAGCAGCAGGACGGGCTGAAGGGGATGCAATTGCTGAGAGAGGTGAGTCTCGCCTTGGGTTTCACCCTGTGGCTTCCCCTCCCACCAGCTCACAGCCAAGGTGGTACCTGTTTTGAAAGTGGGGGTGGCATCATTTTCTTTCCCCCTGAATCAAAATGTGCCCTGGGGGCCTCCAGGGCTCTCAGCTGCCCTGTGCAGGAAGGACCAGCTCACTCTCAACCTCTGGCTTTTCACTAGAGTTTGTCTACTTGGCCCTAGGGACTGAAGGATGCCAGGACGTCGGGCCTCAGGGCCACTCTGTCACCTGTGCCCAGCCCAGGTGGGTGGCAGGAAGGTCCACGTAGGCCTGGCTTCAAGGTAGCGTTGTCCTGGCCATTCCCTTGCGTTGACCTCCGCCTCTTGTGGGGAAGGAGGCTCCCTTGGCTTCTGGTCTCTGTCATAGGCTAGCTTTGGCAGGTGACTGAGTTGTGTGGACTCAGTACCCCTCTGTCAAATGGGTCCCTTTGCAATGTGGTTGTTGTCAAGATCAATGGAAATGTGAGTGAAAGTGCCCTGGGAAAACATGAAGGGCTGTAGAGAGGGAAGGTGCCATTTGTCATAGATCCCACGCCTGTTGCTGGGAGGCTAGGGTGCCCCGAGCTGTTGGATGGTGCCTCTCCCTGCAGAAGGCGTGGTGTGGGGACACAAACGGAAACAGTGCTGCTGACTATGGTGGCAGAGGGTCTGCTAGTTCTGGAGGATGCCTTCTGCTGGAAGGGTGGAAATTTATCCTCAGCTTAACTAAGGGACAGTATTGTGCTCCACCAGTTGCCAACACCCTGCTAGGTGCTGAGAGGCTGCTGACACCAGCAGGTGTGATTCTCAGGCCTCGGAGTTCATCTGACAGCCCATCTAGGGGACTCCACAGGGCTCAGAGTCAATGAATTCCAGTCGTGCGCCCTGTCTGCTTCCTCCTTATTTTGTACATGAGATGGAAAGTGACCTGCTCAAGGCCACACAACTAGTCATGGCAGTCATCTGGCTGGAGTGTCCATTTCTCAATTCCGGCTCTAGTGCTCTCTCTACTACGTCACACTGCTGCCTCCATCTCGGCCAAAGCCATTGTTGTTGTCTCCTGGGATTGGGGGCTGAGTCTCTAGGTGCCCAGCGATGCCATTAGTGGTTGATGCAAGAACCCTGTGGGGTCAGAGTTCCTGTTGCCTCCTACTTGGTTAGAGGAAAACACAGGTTTTTCTCTTTTTTATTTTTTAACTTGGTCCTGGTTCTTGTTCCAAGATTCTTCCTGTTTTCCCATTATGGCTAATGCAGTGTCCTGTCTCATGGAAGCTTTGTGTCTCTCGATTCTGCAGATGCATGTGCATTCGTGCAGGCACACCATCAGGTCTCTTGATTTTTCTCCCAATGCCGTGTTAATGTCAGGTGACAACCTGCCGTTACTGTCATGACTTCTGGGTTGGTGAACTTAAGCTTGTGCCTCTGCCTGTTGAGGCCCCTGCGAGAAGCTGTCTGGGGAAGAATCGCGAGAATCATTCCTATCAGGAATCAGTTGAAAGCACAGCGTGGGGGCAGATAGGCAGGTGGGCATGGCAGGGTCTGGGGCCTGGAATCAAACTCTGAACCATTACCTTGTACTGAAGTCTCTTCTGGCCCTTTTCTCTCTGCCAGGGCCCCTGGACTGCAGGAGTTTCCCATATGCTTTGCTGTCCCTTAAGGGAGCAAAACAGAAATTTTCCCCATTGGAGCCCAGAGGTTGAACCCATGATTGCTGGTGTCCTTTGGGCGTTGCTAAGAAACAAACACCCAAACAGATAAGGAAACAGAAAAAAAAATAGAAAAATAAATAAAACAAGAAAAAAAAAAAGAATAACAATATTAGCATTGCCCTGGATGTGGCTTGGGGAGGGGAGGGGACAGAGGAGGTGGCCCTCAAGGTTTGTTTGGGAGCCTGAGATAGAATGCAGGAAGCCCCAGCTTTCAGTGGGCTGTGTTCCAGAAGTTTCTGAGTCACTAGTTTGGGACTAATGTGACTTTTAAAGATGTCTGGGTTCCCAGGCCCAACCACCAAAGCCTTCCTTAAGTCACGGCATCCCTGCCTTTGGTCTCTATGAGAGCAGTGGGAAGTGGGGGTGGTATTGTTTTCTTTGTCCTTGAATCAAAATGTGTCCTGGGAGCCTCCGGGGCTCTCAGCTGCCTGTGCAGGAAGGACCAGCTCTCCCTCAACCCCTGGCTTTTCACTAGAGTTTGTCTACATGGCCCTAGGGACTAAAGGATGTCAGGACATTGACCGTGTGGCCCTGCATTACTGTGGGGTATACATCTCCCTCAGCCATGGAGTGTCACTCGTCTACCCGCTGCTCTTCTGGGCCCATGTTATCCCATGGGATGGGAGCTTTATCAAGAGTATGAGGAGGTAGGGGCTGGAAGATAGGGTTGTGAGAACAGGGGAGCTAGATCTCCCCCGCTATCCGGGTAGTACCAGGAACTTGCTCCAGACCCCAGCTCCTCCTTTCTTTACTTTCATCTGCCTGCAAACTCCCCTTTTCTTTCTCTTCTCCCATCACCTGTGGCTCCAGCCAGGGACGCCCTCCTGGCTCAGTAGGGGATGAACACAGTTTCACAATTAGTAGCAGACACTGGATTTTGGGGATCTGTGAGTGCTTTTGTTGCCACCGTCACCAGCAGCACTGAAGAAGCCCAACATTTCCAGTGCCCGACTCGTCTTTTTCTGCACCCTTCACCTCCCCTCGCCCCCCACAACCCATACTTGGCTCCGTGGGGGAAAGGCAGAAGGGACACAGGGGTCTCAGGACAGACTGACATGTTGGAAAGCCATACAGCCTGCCCTGGGCTCTTCTCATGGGAGGCGGGCAGGTGGATTCCCACAGGAAGAGCAGGTGCAGTCAGGGGGTGGGGGATGGGGGGTGGGATTGGGGTGTTGCTGGGGCTTCATTTATTAGCCAATGAGTAAGTATTACTGAGCAACAGGTGTGGGCCTCGCAGCCTGCGGGGTCTGGGAATGAAGGGGGCTAGAAGATGATGGTAGGAGGCTGTGGTGGAGGAGAGTATGGCATCGGGCTGGGGTACTGGGGGGATTGGGGGGACAGGAGGAGTGAGCCGCAGCTGGCGGGATTTTCCCACATCTCTCCCCTTGCCTGAGCCCTGGCACCACCAGGCCTGTTAGGACACAACTTGCCCTTCACTGCCCCAAACTGATGAAGCAGCAGGGGATTGAGAGCAGGACCAGGCAGCAGCTGCTGGGTGAGGATGAAGAGGAAGATGGGGGTGGGGAGAAAGTGCAGCCGAGATGGTGGGGGACGTTCCTGTGGCTACTGGCTGTTCCTGAGACACATCAGCCCACTTACACCTGTTAGCTTCTGACAGGGTCGTTAAGGACTGAGTCTGTGGCAAGTGAGGGGTAAGGAACCCCTGAAAAACATAGTTTTATTTCAAAGCAGAAAGGCTACTTGGAAGCAAACTTCTCTCATGGAATTAATAGCCTGTTAAGACCTTTATCATGAATTAGAACATGCTAGAGCTGTGGATGTGTATCTCCTTTCACACCTACAAATCGCACAGCAAACCATTCGCCCAGTGAATGAACATTGGGCTCTGAGGGGCTGGCGGCAGCCACGGCAGGGAGGCTGTGAGAGGGAGCCAGTGCTTCAGACGCCCCCGTGTGCTGGCAGGAGATAAGCGTTCTATACCCATTGTCCCAATTAAGCCTGGATGTTACTGGTTCCATTTTACAGACAGGAAACTGAGGCTCGGGGAGGCTGAGAGGAGGTAGAGCTGCTAGATAACGGGGAAGGGTCACTGATGAGGGAGAAGTGAGATGGCAGGGGTGGGGCACAGGGGGCTTCCCCGAAAGTCCCCCTTTGTCTGGAACCCAGGCTTCTGGGCTCCCCCCTGCTTCTCTGGCTGCTTGCAAATGTCCTTGCTAAGTGGTGTTGACGACGGTGTTAAGAGGTGGAGGGCCCCAAAATATCCTAGGACGCACCCCTCTCTCTCCTCCTGAGAATTGGGCACAAGGAGAGGGACGTTCCTTGTGGGAACATGACTGGGAGTTCATGAGACATGAAGTGGGGTGAGTTGGAACTGGGGGGTGGGCAGGAAGACAGCAGCCTGGGGGCTTGGAGCAGCCAGAAGCAGTTGAGGTGGGAGAGGTGTGCAGGACAGGACAGGAGGAGGCACATCCAGCCCTGTTCTTGGCTCTCTGGCCCTGGGCTCTGCCACTGTCCCAGGGAGGGACCGAAGGGGGTCATCCTTCCATGGACAGTGTGCAGATGGGTTTTGTTAAGGACGGGAATGATAAGGAAATGTGTAGAAGGGCCATCAAATCCAGGTGCACAGGAAGAAGAAGAGTTGATTATCAAACATGTAAACAGCTTTGCAGAAAGTCACCCCCAGCCCCTTCCCCTGTCGCATTTCTCTGTGGCCTTTGCTGATCCTTCTCTATGTGTAAACAGGCTTTCCAGTTTGTCATCACTGTGCACATGCAGTTTAGGTCCCACCTTTCCACCCACAATATTTCACTGACATTTTGTTTGCCATGAACATCAGAGTCCTCATGTTTATTACATTAAATCAGCACTTTATCATCGGCTGGGTTTTTTTTTGGAGAGGAAACCGAAGCCCAGGGCTGGGCCAGTGGAGCCAGGTCCAGACACCAGTCTCCATGGGGGGTGTCTCCTCGCCCCCTCAGGCCTGCCTCCTGAGCTTCAAGGTACATTTTGTGGTTACACATATGTGTACACACACACACACACACACACACACTCTCTCACACACACACTCACCTACTCACCTACCTGCTTTGTCTGCCCAACAGCCCTGGTAAGTTATCCATGAGACGAAATTGCTAGGACTGCAAAGTTATTCTTGTTCTGCAATTTCTTCACAAACATATAGTGAATCCCACCCACTAGGGTGCTCCAACCCCGAATAAACATTCAGGACCCCCTGCCCCCAGCTCTCCCCTCAGGAACACGTGCATTCTTTTTTTTTTTTTTTAAAGATTTTTTATTGGGGAACTGGGGGGATGG